AAAAAAAAGACTAACCGCAGACGCGGCCCTAAAACATAGCCACTTCACTGAACTGCCTCTGCCCATCGATCCGTCTATGTTCCCCACCTGGCCGGCGAAAAGTGAACTGGGTGCGCGCAAAGCACTCGCCTCATCGCCTAAACCGCCCTCAGGTGGCTCGCAATTCAAACAGTTGGGCCGGGACGAATTAATTGTGGGCAGTACAGGTGGCAATGGCAGCACAACAGCAGGTGCTGCTTCCAGCAATAGCAAAGTAATATCGGGCATCATAACCGGTAATAAGAAAACCGCCACGAACACTGGGTTTGTGCTTAATGCAGGCATTGATCAGCGTCAACTAGCCATGGGCCCTGGATTCAATTTAAAATTCTAACCAGGAAGTCAGGCACTGCTTGCTATTGTTCTCTCATATTTGAGTGTGAATGTGTTTATTGGTACTACAAATTGTTTTTGTAATATTTTTTTAGTGAATAACTATCCCTTCTACAGCGAGTTTCTTCAAACACATATTTTGTTGTTACTACTTTTAAGCTCCTGTCCAAAAACTGTAAAAACCGTCAGATGTTTCGTTTTAATGCCTAATGACTAATAATCAATTTCCACTGAGAGAACCAAACGATTTTACTAACAGAAAACGTAAGAATCCGTTAGAGCTTAATATAAATTAATATTACCAGTAAATATAAATTATTATTAAAAAATCTAAGCAAATTTAGATTAAAATTTATCAATGAAATATGTACAAATTACATGCGTTGAAGAAGTCATAGAAAATTGGTGTCTTCATAAGCGATAGCAGGTGAAGAGCATTAGTCATACAAACACATACATATATGTAGATGGAACAGTTTAAGTAAATCATTAGAGTGGTGACTTGTATTCACAGATCTACACAAACAAGCACATAAAAAAAACACTCAAATACATTTTTTTCCTAGTTTTAAGAACTTTTTGGGGAGTAATAAAATGTTCTACATGTAATAAATATTTAGCTACAGGAAGACCTATTGTAAAGGAATGTTTGCCAGAATGGAAAGGAAAAGGGAAATACAAGGATATAATTTTACAACAAAAATAAATGAAAAATGTTTTATTGCAGTACTGATGCGGATGTAAGCGTTAAATGTTGTTGTTCTAGCGTTTACTTCGTACGGCCCAGATTTGTTGAAACTTTCCATTGTGGTCAAGACCCAGCAAACGTGCTGTTTCAACAGACTCGGAGGGAGAGGGATGTTAGTTGAATGGATATACGTGAAAGGATCTTTCCAGTTTCGTAGACTCGACTGCACATTCATGATTATTAGCAACGTCTCTATATAAATCAAAACTTCAGTTGCCAATGTAATACAACCATTTCTGGTCAATGAGTCTTACAATTAAAACGAATTATACCAACTTAATTTAATAGTTTTATAAAAGTATATTTTTATTTGTTTACTACGCTTGACGGGCAATTGACCTTATTCCCTATATAACTATATAAATATACCTCACAAAAAGTAAATTAAATACATTTCACAATACATATTCTTGAACTTGTAAGCATATATGTAATTCTAAAATGTAATCGTTTACGATCGTCACTTGCGACTAAAATCTTTATGTCGACCACAAGTAGAAGTATGTACTCTGCCAGTAGGGTACATATTCTCGTACCGGTCCGGCCACCATCTTCAGCAGTGGCACATTATCTGCGACAAACCCTAGCACACGATCTAACCGCGAGCTTGTCACACGTTCGAAAAATGGTGAGCGCATTAAATATAATAACAGATTGAGGCATCGACGTGATAGCTCTAATTTCTGTTCCTTGTGCATATGTTGACGATATTTATGGTACATACGTATGCTGATCAAATCCAATGTCAACGATATCACATACTGTTGCCAGCGCTTTTGACCAAATACTCCCATTGCCGCTAAGTGTATAAGTGGCTTAGCTATATACAGGTACTCGGCTTGTACCAAGGAGCAGTTTATTGGCTTGCAAGCAACCATTTCTTGTTGATCTTCGGGCAACTTAAAGTCACGATATTGTAGCGGCGGTGCACCTTCTACTCTGCGCACTACACGACCAGAGCGTTTCAATTGGAATGTAAAGTTGCTATCGCCAAATCCATTTTGAATGAAATTATTTCTTTCTTCTACTATTACACCTTTTTTCAGGGCGGATTTTTGTTTTTTGATAAGTGCGCGACGATTAAGCGCAGGAAGTGCTGGTGTAGTGATTATTTTTTCAGTACAGTGCTTAAGTATGAAAAAGCGACCAGCTGCTTTGGCAAATTGTACCACCGCTACGAATATCCATTTACCGCTATTGCCGAAAATACGTTTGGCCGAAATCTCAATCAAAACCTCACAGTACTCCAATGTAGTCAACATGACCTTTAGTCGATAAACATATTTTTCCTTTTTGTTGTTGCTACGTGCTACAACACTAGTACTAGCGTCGAAGTTCACTCGTGCCAAATCAGCCAATAGATTGTTGTTCCTCGACTTGTCGATTATGCGGTCATTGTAGAGCACCAACATATTGGATAGAGTGTATACGAGCTCGGAGACAACATTTGAATCAGAAATGCGTCCTAAAAGAAAATTCATTTTATTGGTGCAAGCGGATATGCATTAAGTACATACCAGCGATAAAATAGGATACCCATTTTGTTGTGGTTTCTACGTCGCATACAGTTTCGGGATTTGCGGCCACCCATTCCTCATACGATTTTATCAGTCTCTTCAAATTTTCCATGGTGTTTCCAGCTTTTCTGAGATGGTCTCTGCTGATTTTGTGCTCATCTATTTTAACAGTTTTAATCTAATCCCAAACTGAAATACTAAAGGTGGAATTAGTCATGAACGCAGAACTTATACTTAAGCTGAAATTAGTCAAGAACGCAGAACGTATGCTTAAACGCTGTTTGTATACGCAGAATTTTGTCGATTACTGGAGCCCTCAGTGTTGCTTACTACAGTGTTGCCACTCATCAATGCCTTTTCATAAACTTACCTTTTCAACTACAATTTTTCGTGCTATAATAGATGCTAGCTTAATATAAACTACTAACTTTCAACAAAAAACCTTATGCGATAGTAAACTTCAAACATTTTAAACATATTGTGAAAAGGAACTTACAACTTGTTTACCATCTGCAAAACTGATGAAGTGGCAACCATCTATAGAAGGAAGAAATCAGCAGCGGTGTTGAGTTTTCATATTCATGGCGCTCTGGTAAGACAGATCGTGGCAGCTGACTCGCGTTTACGTAATGGTAGGTTTACGTTCATGACTAATTTCACCTTAAAAATAGCCAACTCCGCCAGTGATTGAATTAACAATAAAAGGCCCTACACACGGATCGATTTATCGGAAACCATAGGACCAACCGCTAAAAGTTGGTGGTAAATAAGCCATGTGTAGGCAAGTTGGCAAACCTTCGTCAAGTTGTTCGTCAGGTTGGAGAAAAATCAAAAATTTTTGAGGCACGTTGGTTGTTGTTGTTGTTGTAGCGGCTACAACAACCCCGCCCAGATCGGTTGGTATCTCAGTCGTTGTCGTCAAGTTCCACTAACGGCAACCCTAGGAAGCGTGCAGCTTCTGCGGGGTTTGCCCATAAGGACAAGGTCGTTAGGGATGTCGGGTTTGCCGGGCATGCGAAGAGATGTTTCGAGTCATGTGGGGTCTCTCCGCATGGCGGACATTCATTAGGCACATCCTCATTCAGCCTACTCAGGTAGGAGTTTAACCTGCTGCAGTAGCCGGAGCGAAGTTGTGCAAGTGTGGTGCGCGTCTCCCGAGGCAGATGAAGCTCCGTCTCGTCAATGTCCGGGGGTGGTGTGCCTAGAACGGCATTCACAGGTCTAGAGTCTACATAACTCGAGACTGAGTCCCTGTGAATGCCGTTCAAGGCCTGTCTGTAGGCTGTCGGGTCCAGAGGTTGCTTAATGAACCTCTGGACTTCGTCCGTTAGTTCATATAGATGCCTCCTGACGTGCCTAGGCGAGGGCTCCTCTGCAAGCAGCTGTCTGCACGGGTGGCCACTTCTGTGGGTCCCAATCAGGAACTGCTTGCAGAGCATTATATTGTGCTCCTTCACCGGGAGCATTTGCGCCTCGCCGTGCAGGTGGTGTTCAGGCGTCATCAGGAGGCATCCCGTCGCTGTCCTCAGTGCGGTGTTTTGTGCGGTCTGTAGCTTCGTCCACTGCGTCCTACTAGTCCCAGGCGACCACACTGGCGCTGCGTAGTTCAGAACCGGCCGGCCTATTGCCTTGTATGTTGCCAGCAACGTTTCTTTGTCTTTGCCCCAAGTACTGCCGGCTAGCGACTTGAGGACCTTGTTGCGGCTCTGTACTTTATTGACAATAGCGGTTGAGTGCGCAGAGAAGGAGAGCAGGCTGTCGAAAGTTACTCCGAGTATTTTGGGGTTATTCACCGTCGGAATTGGTGTGTCATCGACGTGAATCCCCAGCGGTAGCCTGACCTCCTTCGTCCAGGTTGTGAACAGGGTCGCGGAGGATTTCGTAGGGGAGAGGGCTAGACACTTTGCAGTGAAGAAGCGAGAAAGTTCGGAGAGATAGCCGTTTACTTTCGAACACAGGTCATCAATTCCATTCCCAGTCGCCATAATCGAGCAATCGTCGGCATAGGAGACAATCGAGACTCCCTCTGGTGGTTGAGGGAGCTTTGAAATATAAAAGTTAAACAGTAGCGGGGAAAGGACACCACCCTGAGGAACCCCCTGTTTTATTTTTCGCTGCTTACTCGTTTTGTCTCTGAACATTACCGACGAATGTCGACCACTTAGATAATTTGCCGACCACCGTTTGAGCCTCTGTGGGAGAGAGGAGGCCTCTATATCTTCTAGTAGCGTGGAATGGCAGACGGTGTCAAACGCCTTTGACAAGTCCAACGCTACTAGAATCGTTCTCTCACAGGGACGGTTACGGTTAAGGCCACGAGTTATCTGAGTGTTTATGGCGTTAAGTGCTGTTGTTGTGCTGTGCACTTTACGGAAACCATGCTGATGCTTCGCTGGGGTCAGGTGATTTGTGAAGTACGGGAGTAGCAAGGCCTCGAGTGTCTTCGCTACCGGGGAAAGGAGTGTAATCGGACGATACGAATCTCCTTTGTTTGCAGGTTTCCCCGGTTTGAGCAGTGGGACCACTCTCCCCACCTTCCAGATGTCTGGGATGATGAGTGTGGCCATTGACAAATTGAGGACCTCCGTTAGGTACGCTACCCCCGCAGGACCCAAATTTTTCAGCATCAGCATGCATATACCGTCGGGACCCATGGCTTTGGAGGCTTTCGCCTTCCCGATGGCCACCTGAACTTCACCGCAAGTGAAAGCAAGGGGGGCACAATTTGTTGGCAGTTTGTGCAGCCTTCTGGTCACTCGACGCTTGGCTTTGTCCACCGGAGGATGCAGTATGAACTGCCGGCTAAAATAGCTCGCGCATCGCTCCGGGTCCGACGAAGCATAGTCGCCGAAGGAAATTTCGACTCTGTCGTCGTGCTTCGTCGGATTAGACAATGACCTCACGGTTGACCAAAGCTTGCTCACACCAGAGGTGAAGTTGCAAGTCTTCAGATGCTCCTCCCACTTCTTCCGCTTATGTACGTTTACAAGTTGCCGAATCTCCGCGTTGAGATCCCTGATACGGGGATCTCCGGGATCGGCCTGACGAAGGCTATCACGCTCGTTTGCTAAAACAGCCGCTTCGGCAGGGAAGTTTGGACGTGGGTCCGATATGCACCCTGCCGGTATGAAGCGGGCTGCAGCAGCAGTGATAGCCCTGCGGAACTTACGTTCACCGAGGTGGACGTCGGTTGGTGTGGGGAGCGATGTGAAGGTGTTTTCAGTAAACTTCGCGTAACCTTTCCAGTCAGCTTTAGAAAAGTTGACATAGGTCCGGTGTTTGGCGGAGGCAAAGTCGGTTGGTTTATCAATCGAGATGACTATGGGTAGATGGTCTGATGCTAGAGTCAGCATAGGTCGCCACGTTATGCTGTTTATCAGACCAGCGCTGACTATTGTGATGTCTGGCGAGCTACTGCAGTTACCCATAATCCTGGTGGGTGCGTCGTCGTTCATTGTGCAGAATGTCGAATCGTCTATCTGCTCAGCCAAGTCTGTTCCCCTACGATCGTTTGACAGGCTTGAGTGCCAAAGATCGTGGTGCGCATTAAAGTCACCTACTACCATACGGTTTTCACCTCTGAGGAGCGCACCTATATCAGGGTGATATCCTGCCGGGCAGCAGGTGACAGGGGGTATGTATATATTAAATATTTCGAGCTCGACATCGCCTGACCGGATAGCGATGCCCTGACATTCTAGGGTGGTATCCCTGCGGTCGATGTCTGCTTCGATAAGACGATACTGCACGGTGTGGTGCGTTATGAACGCTAAGCCACCACCATTATCTCGCTCGCGATCTCGACGGTGCACGTTGTACCCGGCACAATTCAACAAAGTTGAATTGCTGTGCAACTTCGTCTCTTGGACCGCAGCTATTAATATACCATGCCGACACATAAAGGCGGTTATCTCCTCAATCTTGCTCTGTAGCCCGTTACAGTTGAATTGGAGGAGCTTCATGTGGTTCGGGAGACGTGTTGTGATGTGGGGTGTGAGTGAGGTGTAAGTTCTTGCCGCCGTTGGCTGTGTGTGCTGCTGGGGTGATTGCCTCCCTGTGGTGGTATTGGGGGGCGTCGCAATTGATGCCAGCGACCGGGCAGCGCAACACGGGCCCTCGAAGTTCCCCGTCCAATCTCGCGTGGTGCGCAGACCTGAACATGCCCTAAAGTGGCACCAGCCAAGGCAGGTGTTGCACTTGACTGATGTCACATTACGGAATATTCTGGTCTGACATACCGTGCAGATTGTAGGGGGAACCAAGAGTTGTTGGCGGCGGCGTGTGGGTGGTGGTGCAGTTGTGTGTGTTATGTGGTCTGTGGTGGCTGTGGTATGTTGTTGTGTTGTGGCGACTATGTGTGGTTGCTGTGTGAGTGTGTGGGGCTGCACGGGCGGACTATGGGTTGCCGTGGAGGCTGCTCTATTTGAGCAACAGGGGGCCACGTACGACGTGGTCCACTGTCTGTGAGTCCGTAGTCCCGAGCAGACCCTGAGGTGACTCCACCCCTCGCAGGCATTACACTTGACTGAGGTGGAGTTGTGGTGTAAACGTCTTCGGCATACACAGCAGGTGTATATTTCTGGCCCAGGGTTTGACTCGATGCCAGCCCTGAGTAGGAGAATGCGTAGTGAATGCTGCCCTATGGACGGACAACTTCTGAGATACTTCGCCGACCTAAACGGGGTTAGATCGCCGAAACAACAGCCCTTGGTCGGGTGAAACCCGAGTCATTCCGGTACGTAGAACCGGCTGTCGTGGGAATGAAGAGGCACGTTGGTCAACTTGATGCTCTGTGTGTAGACAAGTTTTAATGGCGCATTAACGTTAACATGTGTTTTTCGGTAGTGAAAATGCGTATACTTTATGCAAACGGAGGCGGTAGCAAAACCAAATACATAAAAATGAGAAGCATTCCTAGCATAGCTTAAAAGTTTAACAGTGCTGTTGTGTTGTTAACAGTTCAAAAACTGTCACTCAAATGAAATCGGCCAACCAGTTGGTGCGTTTGTAGGGAATTTCGTTAAGTAGGTTGGTCAACTGATTGGCCGATAAATCAATGCGTGTTAGGGCCTTTAAGTCAACGGTCGATTTTTCTTTATCAAAAGTCGATAACATTGTACACCGATAAAAAAGTTCTTTACCGGCCGTCTTCACGTGCTGGAAAATCTCGTTTACGTGACGACGCATGCGAGAAACCGCACGTGTAGACCGCAAAAAGTACGAAGCATGCTTTTTCTCGCATA